TCTGTTGCCACTTTTTCTCAGCTCTCACTGGACCGATTTCTTTCAAAAATACGTCAAAAGATCACAAATCGTATCTAGTTGGAGACATTACCCTTAAAAATTGAAAAAAATTCCCTCGTTCCCCGAAAATGGGGGAAATATCCAAAAAAATTACAAATTTAAAAATCGGTAAATTTTGTCATTTTTTTCACTTTTTTTTCTTAAAACTTCCATAACTTTTTGAAAAATAAACAAATCAACATAAATTTTTTTTCTACTAAAACCTTAGATATTTCCCTTTTGTTTGATATCATTTTGTTGAAAATCTAACACTTAACCTGCTCATGAGGGGGCATTTCAAATAGCAACTTTGTTATAAAAACTAACTTTTTCAACTTAATTTTTGAAAATGTTCCAGAAATACTGCGTCCTTTAAACATATATCAAATTAAAGCTTATTTTATGTGCTATAAAATAAAAAAAAAAATTTGTCCCGACACTTTATCTTCTGCATGTAAACGGCTGCCGTAGTTAAAAAAACGCTATTTTTGTGTTAAAATTTTCGATTTTAAATTTTCAACTTAAAAATGCTATAACTTTTTGAAAAATGTATATATCAGCACAAATTTGTTTTTTCTAAATACATTATAAGTACATCTTTCATTTGACATAATTTTTATTATAATTGGACAAATTCCCCTTATATAGGGTTCAAAACTTGAAATAGTGTAAAAAACATAGATCTTTTTCAACTGAACTTTTGAAAATGTCCCGTGAATACTGCGTCCTTTAAACATATATCAAATCAAAGGTTATGTTATATACTATCAAATGAAAAAACCCAGCACAGGGGGGTCACGGCACAGTGGTGACGTGGCATAGTTGGATCAAGTATTATGATATCTAACAGTGATTAAAATTACTATCATAAGAAACGCTTCGATGCAAATCTGTAGATAGTGTTTCATTTAGAGAAATTGGTGGATTATTCCAAAAGCAACATCAACTCTTATTTCTTTAATTATATTCTGATTAGTAGTACTTTGATTTTAAAATATAATATATGAATAAAGACTAATTATAGTTTTCAAATTCAGTATGAAATTGTGAGGCCAGCTATGATGTATGGTTCATAGTGTTGGGCGGTTGATAAGAAAGTAGAGCAGAGAATAAGTGTAGCAGAGATGAGAATGCTTAGTTGGATGAGTGGAGTGACTAGAGAAAATAGGATAAGGAACGAGCATATAAGAGGAAGTAGGGTTAATCAATCGTGGATAAGATGACAGAAAATAGACTTAGATTGTTTAGTCATGGTATGAGGAAGNGATGACAGAAAATAGATTTAGATTGTTTAGTCATGCTATGAGGAGAGAAGAATCGAAAGCTGTAAGAACAGTTATAGAAATGAATGTTGAAGGAAGATGAGATGGAGGAAGACCAAAAAAGAGATAGAGGGATGCTATTGAATGCGATTCGAGGATAGCTGATATGAGCGTAGAAGATGTGGGATGTAAATGTAAATGTAATGTAACTCGAAAAATATTTGTTTAAATGAAAAACTATAAAATAATTTGTTTGTTTATAATTGTTTTTTAAACAACTTTTGTACGAAACTTTTTTTTGTAAGTTAAATATTTTTTGAGAAAATTAAAAAAGCTCATATTTTTGAACTTTTGCGAGGCTGTAAAAAAAAGCTCAATTTCAATCAATGAAGACTATTAGTATGTCATTATACATATTTTAATTCAACTATTAATAAAACAAAATTTGGTTGGGAATTTTTTAAGAAATTTTTCCTTTGTTGACTGGCCTAGATGACAATTTTAAATTTGTAATTGAGCTAAAAGTTATGGTAATTTATTCAATTTTTTTTGCTATAAACTTTCATAAATCTTTATCAAAAATTTTTCATAAATTTTAAAGAACCAAAAAAATAGGTTAAAAATGAAAATTTGGACTGATTATTTTTAACATATTAAAAATCAAATCAGTAATAATTTGAAAACAATTTTTTTTTTCTTTTAATTATTTTTTATATGTAATTAGTAATAATATAAAAAATTAGAACTGATAGATAAAGTCTAATTGCAGATTTGAAAACAACGCGAAACTTTGATTTAGAAAAGTATATTTTTGTTTCTGATGAAAGTTTCTTGTAATCTAGTGTGTTTATTAAAAAGTATTGCATTAATCCCTTTAAATTTTTATACGCGTTAAAAGTATATGAATATACAACTCCTTTTTATTTTTATAATTATCAATTTATCAATTTCATACTAAATTTAATTACTATAATTATTATGTATTCATATATTATAATTATAAATCCGAATAAAATTAAGGGAATAAGAGTTATGGTTGCTTTTGAAATAAACTACCAATCTCTTAAAATTACACTATCTACAGATTTGCATGGAGCGTTTCTAATGATAGTGATTTTAATCACTGTCAGATATCATCTATGCCTTGTCCACACTGTGCCGCGACCACAGTGTGCTACCGTTTTTTTATTTATATATTACGTATTTACCTATCATTTTGTATATATTTTTTTTATAAATCTGACACTTTATCTGCCCATAGGAAGGGATTTAAAATGACATCTTATTCAATTTTTGAAATTGTTAAAAAAATGGGTTTAGACAAGTATTATATTAAGTCTTTTAATTTTTCTAAATGTTTGTCATAGTTAAATTATTGAATATTAATTCCATACTAAGTTTAATTACTATAATAAGTATTAATTCATGTTTTATACTTATAAATCATAAAACTTATAATCAGGGTATAAATAATAAATTAGGAGTTCATGATTTTTGTGGAAAAATTCAATAATTCCTTTTAAAATTTAAACACTACAGATTTGCATTGAAGAAATTTTATGATAGTGATTTTAATCACTGTCAGATATCATTAAACTTCCGCCCTGAAGCAATACCTAACGGTAGTCCCAGAGCGGTCGACATTATGCCGGTTGTGGAAAAAAAAAAAAGATATCATTATACTTGACCCAATTATGCCAGATCCCCACTGTGCTGGTTTTTTTTTAACCATTTGACTACAAATAATGTTATAAATAGCCCTCGATTTTGATTACCTGTATCTGTTAATTAGCTTAGAGAGTTCGATTAATTTTCTGAACTTAACGCCGAGTTACAAAAATGTTGTTTTTTTTTTTAATAAAAATAAAAAATAATATTCATAGTAATTAAATATCCGTAAAAATAAACTTCTTTATTATTTCTTTAAGTGCTCATTTATTGTTGTTATTCATATTTGTTGTTTTTTTAAGATATTGCCAATTCATATTATTTCTTAATTTTACGGTTTTATTTATAACTTCTTGGGGATTAAATTCATTATTTTTGCAAATTAAAAAATTAGGCAATACTATGAATTATTCAGTTCATTAAAAGTTACAATTTAAATCCTATTAAATCTAATGTTTAAATATACTTGTATTTGTACAAAGCATTAAAAATTTAATTGATTTAATAATTTAACATTATATTAGATTGATGGAGCTTAGCTCCTTACATTTTTAAGAAAAATTCTAAAATAATTAGAAAAAGAATTGTTATTTGAATTATATTTTCACTAAATATTCACTTATAATAAAATAAAAAATAAAATCAATTAAATTTAAAAAATAAATATTTGTAAAGTATTTTTATATTACATTATGAGCTTTTCATTAATTTATGAAATTAGGGTTGATTTAACTTTAAATATTTATTTTTATATAAAATTAATTTGTATTTTCTTAATGTATATAATATTATTTGAAAACATTAAAATATCAAATATTTATTTTTAAATTAAAATAACAAAAAAATAATGTATTCGTTAACATAAAAATTGATAGTAAAAATATATACATTAGTTGATGCACTACTAGATAATTATGGAAGCATAATATTACATGGATAAATACAGTACTTATTCATTAGAATAATAATAAATAAAATATCATGTAATATTAAAAACTAACAAAAATATTACAATACATTTTTGTAAATAAATAATGTTTATTCATTACTATTTTGTAATCTCTCATCTAATGTTACAAGCAATGTGTGTATGTTGGATGCTTCTATTTGTAGAATTTCCATTGGATCCTATAACATCAAATTTATGAAATATAAATATCAGACTAAAGTTATGTACCAAGTGTCTTGTAGGCCCCCAAAACTAATATTTATAGCAAAATATTTTTAGTTTAGATTTATCCCAACAAAAACACTTCATTGAACTCCTTATAAAAATTTACTAAGTAAAATAATTAAAACATTTATAAAATTTTTAAGCACTATAAAGATTTGATAAATTAACACTAAGTAATAATATACATCTATTTATTTCAATAATGCAATTATACTTAATGAGACCTTATTTTTTCAAATAAATAGGTTATCCACAATGAACATGTATTAAAGTATTTCAAGTATTAGAGTTAACTATTCTAATGATATACGTACAGTGTTCAAAAATTAAAGAAATATGTCAATTTTTACAAACAATGAGAACAATAAAAACCTGTTTCCTAACTTACTGAACACTCTACATATCTTTTTGATAAGAATTACAATAGCTAAAGTACTTGTAACTAAGCAAATATGGTTCTGTAATAATTGAATAAAAGTCTTTAAGCAACATTATTTATTTAGGTCATCATTAATATATTAAAAAAATTTAATGTATTTATAATGTAACAATGTATACCTTTTTTGAATTTTCATCTTTCATAAAGTATGGTGCTAAGGCAATGTGTTTTTCTACTTGAAAACATGTATTCAGATTGACCATTTTTAATTCAGTTAAAATATCTTGTTTTTTCAATTTATTAAATAAAAATCCTTCTTCACGTTTCTCAAATAGCTGCAAATAGAATATAGTTGTTTATTAAAAAGAATAAAATGAAAAGTATTCTTTATCTATCTTTCTATAGAAGTGTTATCCAAATAATCACAGAGTACAAATTTAACATTTAAAGGATTATTAGATAAACATATTGTTACCTCTCCAACATATAAAGCATTATAGAAATCTCCCATATATTCTTCAAATCTTTGTAATGTATTAATTATGACTGCATTATCCACTTCTGATATTCTTAATACATCATAATTTATGTGTCTATATACAAAAATATTATTATTATTATAATATATTAAAATATTTAAATGAAGACATTTTAAATAGTTCATTATTTATGAATTTACATGAATATAATTAAGAGATATTTATTTTGGGGTGGGTTTTAAAGTTGTCTTTATTATGGATATTTCTTTGTGAAAAAAATAACACAGAATATAATAATTAATACAAAAATTGGCAGCAAATTACTTAGTTAGAAATTAAAGATAAAAGACCATCAAAATAAATTTTGTTCTTATGTTCCTAAAAAAGATCCCTGAATTTTTGTCTGCAGCTAAATGTTATCAAATCAAAATACAATACCTTAAAAATTATGTAAAAATAATTACAATGATTGATATAAGACATAGCTACATTTTCTTCTTCTTTTTCTTTACCTTTATCCCAACTACTTGGGGTCAGCCACCCTTATCCTAAACTTCCACTTGACATAATCTTCCACATCATCTACCGATCAGCCGTCCTCATATCTCTTTCAATAACATCCCTCTATCTTTTTGTTGGCCTACCTCTACCTATTTTTCCTTCAACATTCATTTCTATAATTGTTTTTACAGTTTACGATTTCTTTCTCCTCAACATGATCAAACTATCTAAGTCAACCTTTTCTCATTATATTCACGATTGACACTACCCCTATATACCCTCTTATATGTTCATTCCTTATCCTATCTTCTCTAGTCACTTCACTCATTCATCTAAGCATTCTCATCTCTGCTCCATTTTTTCGTCAACCGCCCAATACTCTGAACCATACATTATACTTACCTTTTACCTTCTACTGGCACTTCATCTGGTCCTACTGCTTTATTCTTTTTCATTATACCACAGCCTCTCAAACTACTTTCTCACTAATTAAATCTACCAGTTCCTCGTTCCATGAAATATCCTATAATGTCTCTCTAGAATACTCTTCATTCAGTAATTTTTCAAAATACTCTTTCCACTTTTTTTCATACCATCATCATTCATAGATAGCACCCTCTTATCAACACTTTTAATAGACCTTACATAGTGATAATCTTGGACTTTTTTTCTCTTACTTTTGCAAGTCTATAGACTTCTTTTTCACATTTCTTTGTTCCTAGCCAATCATACCACTTAAACTTCACCTTACTTACCGCACATATATCTTCTTTACACAAGCGTTTATACTTTATTCAATATTCACTCCTTTTGCTCTTATGCCATACTTTGGCACTTCCTGTGTTATTTCTGTTTTTGTGTATTCTCTTCCCACTTTACCCAACTCTATAAGTCTATGTAGTGTTGTAGTTACACAATCCCCTGAGATAACTTTACATAAAATATAGCTACATATTAGCTACATATAATGTTTTATAATTTTATTATCATAAAAGTTGTAGAACAAACCTCAACATTAGTTTAGATAATCTGTTTAACCAGTAAATATTAATAGACATAAGACCATTATAAAAAACATTGGGTGGCATAAGAGTCCACATAGACCACATATTAGGTTGCAAATTCTCTAAAATGTTAACCTAAAATAAAAATGAAAATCGTAATAATTTATCTTTGTTGAATAATAGAATAAATAAAATTTGAAATTTTACTTTTTCAAAAAAATTGTATATTGTATTTTTTAATAGTTCATCATGAGGATAGTGATAAACACAAACTGAACACCAATGAGATACATAATCAGTTAGACACTTCACTATTTCATATTCCGTTTCTTCTCTTAGTTTATTTCCAAATAAAACTACAACTGAAGTGTTTATTGTTTGTCTTGAATTTAAATGCTATGAAAAAAAAAATTAAATATTATAAAGTATTTATCATCTATATTATGGTGTTTTAATGATTAAATTAATAATAGGTAATAAAAATCTAATGAAAATAAGAATTATTAATAAAAATTATTAAAAATCATTTATTCAATTCAAAACTAGAACTACATATAGATAAGTTCCACGCAAAATAACTAAATTAAACATTTTCACTATAAGCAAATTTGTAGTGTTTAAATTTTAAAAGGAATTATTGAATTTTTCCACAAAAATCATGAACTCCTAATTTATTATTTATACCCTGATTATAAGTTTTATGATTTATAAGTATAAAACATGAATTAATACTTATTATAGCAATTAAACTTAGTATGAAATTGATATTCAATAATTTAACTATGACAAACATATAGAAAAATTAAAAGACTTAATATAATACTTGTTTAAAACCAATTTTCAAATCTGCAATTAGATTTTTTCTAATATCTCTTTTATTAGATTATTACTAATTAGTAGTTTGTCAAAGATATACTTTTGGATATTGATATCGTACTCATTTCAGCAATATTGAAAAAAATGATTGTTTCCAATATTGCGATATATTGATACAGTATGAAAAAATAAATTGATATCAAAAAAAAAATTACATTAAAAAATTTAATTTAATTTTTAAATGTTTTCACCTTTTTATTTTCATTTTTAAAAAACCATTAAGTTACAATTGTTGTAAAAATTAAAATATAGTATATCAATCACCAAATTAGATAGTGATATCAAAAAATATAGATAATAGATGTATCTTATAACGATAATCAAATATTAAATTTGATACGAAGCTGAGAAGATATTATTTTACTATGATAGATTTTTTATTCATTTACTTTTATGTCTATTACCACTTTTTCTCAGCTCTCACCAAACTCATTATTTTTAACGATACGTCAAAAGATCACAAATGGTATCTAGTCAAAGACATTACCCTCAAAAATTGAAAAAATTTGCCTCGTTTACCCCATAAATGTGGGAAAACACCAAAAATATTACAAATTTAATAATCGCTAATTTTCAACATTTCATCAATTTTTTTTACTTAAAACTGCCATAACTTTTTGAATAATGTATGGATCAATACAATTTTTTTTAAATAGATATATTAGGTATTTACCTAATATATATTAGGTAAATTAGGTAAATTAAGTATTTACCTAATATTTGGTATATATATTTTTTAAATCTGACCTTTTAACTGCCTACAGGCGGGAATTAAAAATGACACTATCTACAAATTTGCATTGAATCGTTTCTAATGATAGTGATTTTAATCNTTGGTATATATATTTTTTAAATCTGACCCTTTAACTGCCTACAGGCGGGAATTAAAAATGACACTATCTACAAATTTGCATTGAATCGTTTCTAATGATAGTGATTTTAATCACTGTCAGATATCATCTATGCCTTGTCCACACTGTGCCGCGACCCCAGTGTGCTACCGTTTTTTTATTTATATATTACATATTTACCTATCATTTTGTATATTTTTTTTTTATAAATCTGACACTTTATCTGCCCATAGGAAGGGATTTAAAATGACATCTTATTCAATTTTTGAAATTGTTAAAAAAATGGGTTTAGACAAGTATTATATTAAGTCTTTTAATTTTTCTACATGTTTGTCATAGTTAAATTATTGAATATCAATTTCATACTAAGTTTAATTACTATAATAAGTATTAATTCATGTTTTATACTTATAAATCATAAAACTTATAATCAGGGTATAAATAATAAATTAGGAGTTCATGATTTTTGTGGAAAAATTCAATAATTCCTTTTAAAATTTAAACACTACAGATTTGCATTGAAGAAATTTTATGATAGTGATTTTAATTGCTATCAGATATTATCTATGATATCAATATATCATGGTAAACTTAATACCTTCTCAGCTTCGCACTGTAAATAAATATAAATAAAATTAAGTATAGTCAGGATTCAGAAAAATTGTGATGAGGAATTTTTTTTTTTAGACTTCTATTGGCCAGATAATCTGATAGTGATTAATAACATTGTTGTAAAAAACTTAATATTTAAAAAATCATATCCACCAAAAATTATATAAAATTTCAAATTTAGTTTTATAAGATTTATAATTTTTTGGAATATTTTCCATTATTACAGGGATTGAGGGGAAATTTTCAAATCTAATACACCTTAAAATTTAACTAGATATGATTTTACAAATCATCGAGTAAAATCAGCATAGCTGATGTTGATTAATTTACATAACTAAAACAAAAAAATAAATGAAAAAACCACAACAGAATAAAATCAGTAACTTCTCAGCTACGCATTAAAGCCAAAAGTAGTATCTTGTCTGAATTCTATTTTAAAAACTTAAGATTATCTGTTGTCAAATTTAAGTCTAAACCTAACAACTTACCAAATTACACAAAAGATTTGTTAAAGAGTTTATGACCATTCTGTATATTAATTCATCGCCAGATATAAATATAGCATGTAATTTTTCTAAAAATTTTGTCCTTAATTCTAAAACAATTACAAATTTTATATAAATAATGGATTATTTTATGAGAATTAAATGCTTGGGTTTAAATTGGTTAGTTTACACCAATCAATTGATATTTAAGTTTTTAGACAAGAACATTATCACATGTTACAATCTAAATTAGGCAAGTGGTTTACACTCACCCCAGTAAGTTAAACTCTTTTTTAATGTAATCCAACAGTAATGTAACATTCACAGCTAATATTAATGCTAACCTACAAAGAGTGCATGTGCTGTGTCACACCATATAAGTTGGAAAGTTTATATTAACTTATAATTATACTTTACCTTCTTCTGATGTAAAAGTTAAATATTCAAAGAGTTCATAAATAATTCTAGCATACTGTATTCCATCCCATGATAGTAAATACTCGAAGATAAATTTATTAACTGCAACTAAACCTCTGTGAGCAAACTTTTGAAACATCAAAACATCTTGTAATAACTTTAATTTCTTTGACTGTGGTAAAATCAATTCATTTTTCAAAAAGACTAAAAAATTGATTATATATAAATATAAACATACTACGAAAAGAAAACTCAAAATAATTATATTGAGCTGTCCATATTATTTAGTCTAATAATAGATAATTAAATAATTTTTTGAAATAAATAATATTTTTACTTCTACTAGTTATGATTTAATATAATTCTTCACAAATTCAAACATTTGTATACAATATATTACCTTGCTAAGCCTCTAAGAAGTAATTTGAATTTTGACTAAATTAGGATTTGGTATCTAAAAAAGATAATTTAATTTGTAATATCTTTTTCTACAAAAAAAGAAACAGTAAATCCTGTTTCTATGGCTAAAATTCATGTATATTACAAAAAAACATAATTTTTAAAAATTTCAAGTAAATAGAGATACTTCATAATGACTTAGCACGGCAGAATAATCAACAAATTAAGGAAAATTTTAAAATTTGAATGCACTTACTAATAAATTATCAACTATTAAGTTATTAAAGAATAATAATTAAGATAAAAATTAATTTCTCTTTTTATTAAGTATGCACCTCAAAATTTATATAATTAGTGTTTCATTATGTAAATATTTAAATTATTTGGATTTACAGACAGGGATACAAAAAGTTTAAAATTTTAAAATTTCATGACTTCCCAGTAGCTTTTTAAAAAAATTTTTAAGATCATAAGTATACAATATTTATTTATGTGGTAGTGTAATTACCTCAGTCCCCTTTTTTTTTATTTTTGTCAATCAATTAGAATTATTGATACCTAATCAATACTTCTAATTGTTTGAAAGGGTTGAATCTCAAAAACATATTTTTATTTACCGCTCTACCTGGCTTAAAAAAAAACTAATATGAAATTTATAAAATAAAAAAAAGCACTAAAATTCATGTTATATTATAATATAACAAAAACCAAGCAAAGGGGGGTCGCAGCACAGTGGTGCCGTGGTATAGTTGGATCAAGTATAATGATATCTGACAGTGATTAAAATCACTATCAAAAATAAACGCTTCGATGCAAATCTTTAGATAGTGTTTAATTTTAAAAAAATTGGTGTATTATTCCAAAAGCTACATGATCTGCTAGTTCCTTATTAACATCTTGATTAAGATAAAGTATGTCGACTGAAAAAGGGATTATTAAAAAATATTATTTCTCATAAAAAAATTGTGTTGATCCATAAACTTTCCAATAAGTTATAGCATTATAAAGTTAAAAATATAAAAAAAAAAAATCGAGAATTTTCACACGAATATAGCATTTGGTAGCCATTTTCATCGTGAAGACAAGTCCAGAGGTCACATTTTGTTTTTTTTAAATTAAAGTATATTACATAAGCTTTAATTTAAGACATATATAAAAGTGTTAGACCTTCCGGAATATTTTCAAAAGTTAAGTTGAAAAAGTTAATTTTTTGTGAAAAAGTTGTCATTTTAAATCCCCCCCTGTGGGCAGTTAAAGGGTCAGATTTACAAAAAAAATATACCAAATGATAGGTAAGGACATGAAGCATCTATAAAAAAAAAATTATATTGATATATTCATTTTTGAAAAGTTATTGCAGTTTTTAGTAAAAAAATAGAAAAAAATTCGAAAATTAGCTATTTTTAAATTTGTAATTTTTTTTAGGTTTTCCCCATTTACGGGGAACGAGGGAAATTTTTTCAATTTTTGAGGGTAATGTCTTCGACTAGATACGATTTGTGATCTTTTGACATATTGTTGAAAGAAATCCGTTCGGTGAGACCTGAGAAAAAGTGCTAACAGACACACAAAAAAAAAAAA